GAGAGAGAGAGAAGAAGAGAGAGAGAGAGAGAGAGAGGGAGGGAGAAAGTTTATCGTATAATTGTCTGGGTACGTATGTTCCAAGTAAACTCATACATATTACCGTTGTGTTGCTCGTTATTTAAAAAAGTGATTTCGACGAGAATAGAAGAGAGCAATTTCGAGTGAGAATTTTAATTTCTCGAAAAGTATGGAGGAAGAATTGGAATTTTCGTACGCATAAAACGTTCGATAAAACGTTTTTTCCCCAGCTAACGAGTATATAACGAAGAGTGAAATGTTACGAAGTTAGTCGTTTCGATTTCGAAAGAAAATTTGAGAAGATCCCAATTGACGAACAGCAAACAAAACGCACGCTAAGCATCGCGATATATAATAAAACAGAAATATCCCGTTTCACGTGTTCGTGCGATGCATCGAGCGAAATATGAATACCAAATAAACGAGCATTTGGATCGTGACTCGTTGAAACGACGCCCACAATTTCGGATCGGTATTTTCGTGTAGACAAAGGAAAAGGCTGAATCAGCTCGTGACGCCGCACTCGATTTTCGCTTGGCGCGAAAATAATAACGGTGCCACGTGCCATCTCCGAGCCGTTTTTCTCGACGCGTCATCGAGTCGAAAATCTCGTCTCTTCTTTCCTCTCCCGTTATTTCCCTCTCCCAAGAAAAGGAAAAAAAGAAAGAAATTTCTCCTCGTCGAAAGTCGAAACGAGATGGAACGATTCGGCAATGATTCCGTATCATCGAATATATTACACACGCAAGTACGTTTATTCTTTGTCCCCCACGATTCTCCGTATTTTTCATCGAATTTTCCCGTGAGCCACCGCTTGTTGCTTCTTCTTCTTCTTCCTTGCCGTCGAACGAACGCGATTGCCAAAAATATCATTCCGCTTGGGATACCGATTCCGAGGAGACCAACCCCTATGAAACGAATCGGATCTCACATTCACCTCGAGCTTCCTTTCCGTTCCTTTCGTTCGAGAAGCTACGAGTCGTAACGAAGGTAAAACCTTTGTGTCGAAAGAAGCGGAATCAAGTGGGCAAGCGTGTCGTGGATTAAGCGTTCCATCCTCGTCGCATCCTCGCCATTCCAGAGAAAGTTGCTAATACGACACACAGCGCTAGCCGCCTGTTGCACCCCCTTCGCAATTCGCTTTTAAGATCAACAAGTGGTTCGTCTAAGTGTAACAATGCTTTCTAACGTACGCTTGTTTCGCGGCCGAGCACTTTCGCGGCCGATCGGTCCTTGGCACGGCCTTCGACGTTTAACGACGACGTATCTTGCGAAACGGGATTTGGCTCTGATACGCGAACGGAACACGCTTTCATACGCGGTTCTCGATTTTAAATTTAACCCAGTCCATCGTTTCGTCGACGTCGATGATCGAAAGATCAGCCAGAACGGATTTCAGAACGGAAGAAAAAGAAAAAAAATCGGAATACGTCTTCCCTAATTCAAACGACGATCATCGTATCGTCGATGATCGTCCATTAAAAGAAAACTTTCTTTCTCGATCCGTTCGTATCTCTATTATTAACGAACGTTTAATGGACGAGTGTCACTGAACGAGGATGCGAACGAACATCCTCGTTTTATCGAGAAATCTGCGTTATTTTGCTTGGCTCGAGCCTACGTTTTTCGCAGAGTCGTTGAAAAAATGAAATCGTTACGAGATCTTCCATCGATCGAGGGAAGGGGGGGAGGGGGTGGGGGAGGGAATCCGTTAATTCGGTCGGCCTCTTTCGAAACCGAGAGTCGGCGATCTCTCGGTCATAAATCGATCGAGGAATTTTGAAACGATCCGGAATCGGTGCCAAGCCGGTGGAGGCCGATCTCGGGCCGATTCGCGTAAAATTCGCCGGGCGGCCAAGTTGTTCTCCCTCGGGCGACAACTTGGATGATGCATACCCGCGTCTCGAAATAGAAGAGGCAACGACACTGAAAGAACTTGACATTGTCTCGTTGGCCGCGACGAATCGAGGGGAGAGGAGGTGGGGGTAGAAAAAACGCGAGAGGCCTGGTCGAGAGGAATCGGTTGCTCGTTAGAAATCGAGCGATGAAAGGAAATGGTTAGGGTCGAGCTCCAGATGCTCGTCGAATCGAGAAAAAGAAGAAGAAGAAGAAGAGGTAGAAGAAAATATTGGTCGGAATGAATGTAAATATCCGTGGGACGCGACACGATGAATAACGACTTGGCACAATAAAGATCTCGAATTGCAACAGGCAGTGAATTACACATAGTTTGAACTATTTATTGACGCTATGACGAGGATGAGAGTTTGTATTTCGAGGAGTGGCGTAAGGGATTCGAAGAATCTTTTTCGCGGGGAAATTGGTTAAAAAACCAATGTGACGCGCGTGACTAAAATGAATCCCACTCTCGCGTATATAACAACACTCGTAGGATGAATTAGTATTATCGTTTTCCATCGTGTGTAACATTTAACGAATGGAACGAAACAACGAACGCGCTAAATAACACACGTTTTTTTTTTTTTCCTTTCTTTCACATGTGTGGTGGGCAGGCATGGAGCAGTTCGAACAACTGCTAACGTGCGCGATATGCCTGGACCGGTACAGGAACCCCAAGTTATTGCCATGTCAGCACAGCTTCTGCATGGAACCGTGTATGGATGGCCTCGTTGACTACGTGCGCCGACAGGTGAAATGTCCAGAATGCCGTGCGGAACATCGTATACCCTACCAGGTGAGGAGATATTATTGAATTGGATCCCTCTCTTTTTTCCAATTTCTTTCCCTTTTCGTCGTTTTATTGGAAACAATAAAATTCATTCGAGCGGCGTCGAGCGAGGTCGAATCGAGAAAGAAGAAAAAAGAAAAAAAAACGTTTTATTTAAATTCGTGGAAGAAAAATCAGCGATGATCTCGTCCTGTATAAAACGGATTATTATTTAAATATAAACGAAGTTCTTTTTTTTTTAATTCAATCGCGAGACGCGACCTCGTCTTTATTCAACGACGAATCTGCACACTAATCCCTCGTTAAATTGGATACAAAATTTCACACAGTTTCTCTCCGAGCGACGCCTCTCGACGCGAACCATTTCTATCTCCTTGTGTATCGAAAAAAACCGTGACGTGATTCGAAATCAAACGCAACTCTCGGTTATCCTTAATTAAAAGCGGCGACGCGAGCGACAAACGTTGGATAAAGCTTGGAGAGAAAAAAGGAAGGGAGGGGAAAGGAAGGAAGGAAGGAAGGAAGGAAAGAAGGAAGGAGAAGAGGGTTGAAACGGAGGAATGCAATTGAAAACGATCCCTCTCTCTCTCTCTCTCTCTCTCTCTCTCTCTCTCTCTCTATA